TCCGTCCGTCCGTCCGTCCGTCCTTCCAGCGCCCTGTAATTACAGTCAGTGCGGCGGGCACGCGTGTCTTCGGTGTCTCCTCTTCACCGGCAGATAATAGCTCTTACAAACGAGCCTGATAAATATTAAATGGAGGCAGGTTTCCACTTGCCTCTGTGCTGCCACGTTCGCAAAGGCGTTGGAGGTGGTCAGGGACACCAGCTCTTAATTAGACTGTAACCTGGCAGGCTCTCCTGCCCCTTCTACAGATGTCCCTGGCAGTGGCCTTGGCTTCGCACCGAATGTTTTGTGTGCTGCACCTTCACTGGTTGTGGTGCTTTTCCAAGGCTCGGTATTCCGAGGGTGTCTTTTCTTACAGTCGTTCTCTGAGTCTGTTATTTTGTTGTCTTCTGTTTCAGAAAGACTCATGCTGTTTAATTTCAATTGAAACACGAGGGTGGAAAGTCAAGCAATATGGAAAAAAAAAAGAAAAAAGCCCAACCAAAAAAAACCCTAGCCAAAAAAAGTAACACAAACGAAATCAGTAAGGCAGGCAAGGTGGCATGGGTAGAAATATTTCTCGTTAACTATTACCAGCCTTCTAGTAACTAGCATTATCAGGTTGGTAGATCTGTGCAAATTGAATTGCTCATCTTTCTGAGAGAGTGTGGACATCACAGACTTTGGCATTTTGGGTCATAAGCTCTTGTAAGGATACCTGAGTCTGACGGATTAAGAGATGCCAAAGTGAATAGTTTGCTCTTCCTGTTACTTTTTGCTTTTCTTCTTCCTCTCCTTGATGAAACGACATTATTGCGTCACCTAATATTAGTTGTGTGAGCTCTCTTAGCTTACCTGCAGGTGTCCTGGCACACCTCATCCTTAATTGTAGTTTATTTATTTTGCCATTTTGGGTGTGGGCTGAAATTCCATTGTGCGGGGCATTGTACCAGCACTGTCAAAATGTGCCCTGCTGTCTCTCTGTTTCTGGCTGAAAGGTGAGGTAAGAGAGTGGGTGTAAAGAGGGTAAACAGGGAGCAGCAGTTTCAGATGCTGACTTCTGACAGGCAACGTTTGCATAGGTGCCGTAAAGTCAAGAAAAATTCCAAGAGGGTATCTAAAAGAGAAAGGAAGTTGCTTTACAGTGTTCACCAAGTACCTTGAGAGCGTTAGCGAGTGTGGCGAGAGCACGAGGGTGACTGGCCTTCATGTCTAATAGTTGCTGGAATAGAAGCCAAAGTAAATACTTTCATGGCGTGAGGTTAAGACAAACGCTGAGTCTTTCAAGACCCATATAGTGTGTTGGAGAGGGACAAGCCTGTGGAAAAAAATGAGGTGGCAAGCTGACCAAAGCCGTGCACTAGAAGAATGATCTTTGTAACAACTTCTTGAATTGGAAAACCTCAAATTTGTCAGGGAAGATGAAAAGTGTAAAGCCTTAAACAGGAGATACTGTAACATTTGAGCTATAAAGTGAGACTAGCTGACAATTCTAGAATAGATCTGCATTGCCGCAGTTTTGGAAAGATAAATAAAATTTACTGGTGCTGAACTCTCTGTTGCAGCTGGGAGACTTGGCTTTTATTGATGTTGTGCATGTAAAAATTAAAAGGACAAATGCTGCAGTGGTGAGTAAAACCCGCATCCAGGCTTGTTGACTAGGTAATAACCAGAGCAACAGCTGATATGTATTGTTTTATTTAATAATTTAGGACTCTGAACCAGATTACTAAGAGAACCAGACATCATTCCTTGATGAATCCTTACTGTCTTGAACTACCGCATTTGTCTGAAACTTTGTAGGAGTAGCAGCTATATGGAGCTGCTTACTGTAGCTAGTGTTAGTGGAGTGTGGGATGGGTGTGCAGGGAATTAAAGCCTGCTTTATAAACTTTAAGTATTAACTACAATTTTTTTCAAAGTTAAAAAGTTTGAAGCATTGGAGTTAAATGACCCAAAATCAGATGAAGAGACTGTCCCTTTAGAAGAGCCCTAAGGAGAGGCTCACGTTGCTTGCTGTTACTAATCACAGTAATATTTGTGATGCTGTGTTGCAAGAAATAGTGCTCTTCAGCACTGTGACTAAACATGAAAAATGGGATCATTGTATGATGCCAATAAAGGAGCGTGAAATGTTCATAAAAGGCTGATTCTGTGGTGCTCTTTACTCCAAAAAATACAGAACTGAGTCTCAGTAAGTGTGCCTGCTTTTATAGCAGCAGCAGCAAGGAGCACTCCCTGTGCTTAGGTTGCTTCCCTGATTTCAGCATTCATATTTGTGTAGCTTTGCTGTTCTGCTCCTGCTCTGTTCCCAAGACTGATACACAGCAGGAAGAGTGCACTGGGCCCCAGATAGTCAGTTTTGTCTTTCTACATGAAAATGTAATTCTGCATGAAAATGTAATGCCATTTCAGCTGAATTACCCCATTGAAAACTTGCCGCTTCATTTGGCCCTGCTCCTTCAGGAAAACGCCTGAAATGTGCCACAGTAGCTAAAGAAAGGCTACGGAAAGCTGAAATGACTTGCAGTTTTGAGAAGCAGTGGTACGAGGGCTAGGAGAGATGATGAATGTCTGCGCTACCTCTCCACGCTGTAGAGCTTGGCACGTCATCTTCACCTTCCCTCCGGGAAAAATCTGTGCCTGGAACAAAAGGAGCCATTCTGCCCCCCACAGCCCCCTCCTGCCCCCTCTGCTGTGCCCACCGGCTTTCCCAGCTAACTGAGGCTGTTTGTGTTGCAAAGCTAATTTATGTAATCTAGCATAAGAGGTGGGAATGGTGATGCTGCGCTTGCAACGATTAAAGGATGTCTTACAACTATGTGATAAAACATGTATTTTTATTAATAATTTTGAATTGTGACCTGTGGAGACCATTAAGTTTGCATAGGCAAGGAGTTGAAAATTAGAATGTGCCCATTTTATGCAACCTGAATTCTGCATACACGGACGCACATCTCATTCCTTATGGTATGTATTGTTTCATATTACATAAGCTCATGCATTTTTAAAAACCTTCATGGTACATTAAAGACATGTGGCTGGCATTTCCTCACTTCTGTGTTCTTCTCTGCATGAAAGAAGTGTTTTCAGAACAGTTTTGTGCATTTGATGCAGTAGTATCTAAAGCTCTACCAAGATGAAGGCTCTGTTTTGATAGCTACAGTACAAAACCTTACTAAAATTCTCTGGCTGCAGGAGTTACTAGCCTAAAGAATTATTGATTGGCCTTTGAACGAGAAGTATATTTTTTTAATGCTTGTGACCCAAAGACTGCATTGTAGTATTCAGCAGCTGGAAGAACAAAACCAGACATTGTACTTCTCTTTTTATATGTCCTTAGCCACAAAACTAAGTGTTGTTCTTTTAGCATGGCTCCTTGTACTAACCATGATTGCTGATGAAAGCCCACAGAGGCAGATTCCTTGGTGCATCTTTTTAAAGCTTGAGCCTGGCTGCTTTATTATCCTTCATTCAGTTCTCTTCTGTGCTAGAGGTGTCTGTCTAAGCTCTCAGAGCTGGCCACAGCCTATGAAACACTTGATTAATTTCACTAGATATTCACTCCAAAACCAGTGATACTTTTAAATATTAACACTTAATGTGCTCATCAAATTATTTAAAGAAAAGTGTCCCACAAAGAAACACCTCCATAGCACAGTTCTCTTTCGGAATAGATGTTTTAATACCACCTGTCCATACTGAAGTGAAGGCACATTTTTGCTGTTTTTAGTGAAGATATCAGTTTTGACGTATCTTCAAACAATCATGTTTCAGTCTCACCTTTTACCTACAGCCAAGCTCTTGCAAATGCCCATTGTATATGCTAATCAACCTAAAATATTTTAATATCTCATGAAGTTTTTTAAGGGGGAACTTGTCCAGCTCCAGAAGCATGTACTTGAGATAATGATTTTTTTTTTTTTCTTCTTTATAGCAACTGGCAAATGGAGATAGAGGCTTTGAGAATGTGGAGCTGGGTGTCATAGGAAAGAAGAAGAAAATTCCAAGGAGGGTTATTCATTTTGCAAGTGGAGAAACAATGGAAGAATATAGCACAGATGAAGAGGAAGATGAACAAGAGAAAAAAGACCTGTTGCCACCTGTAGATCCTGTAGGTATTTTACTTGATAAATTGCTACTTCTGGTTTACTGGATAACTACCCACATTTTATACTTTAATTTTTGTGTCACAAATCTGATTTAGTATTTAGTATTGAAGATTCCCTTAATTTGATTGGCTCTATGGACTGAGAAATCTGTGAGAACTATTCCTGAGAAGTTTTGTCCTGGAGTCATCCTCCACTAAAGTAGCCCTATTAATGAAAAATGGGTTTAATTTCTTCACAATTCTAGTCTGTCCTCTCCAGCATTTCCCTCTCTAATAATATTTGCTTGATGTCTTCTTGATTTGTACTGTCGTTTAAAAGAATGTGCAGAGAAGGCTTTTGTTTCCTTACGTTCAGTGACAGTGGAGAGTTGAACGTGTAATTTAGTGTTACTATACCAGCAATTTGATATAATTAAAAAAGTATAGAAGCGAAAGAAACAGATGACATGCAGAAATAAAGGGAAACTGGTATAATTCGTGCTATATCAAAACCAGATTTTAAAGGACCTGCATAGTCCGTGTATGTAATGTTCATCTGTCTTGTAAGCTGTTAAGATGTTGCTCAACCTGTGAATGGAGTCTCCATTTATTGGTCTAAATTCAAGTGGAGTTTCAGCAATTAAAGTTATCTCCAGTAGTGTGTGTTGTAGCTGCTAAAATATGTTTTCCTTTTTGTCAATGAGTCTGGATCTATACTTAGAGGTAAAATGAAATATGTAATCTCTTTTATTCTGTTGATGTGTCTGACAATCTGTTTTGTGGTGATAGCGTATTTGCAAAGCTCACCGCCATGTGTGCCAGCACTGGCAGCAGCAGCCCCCCTCCCTCTGGCAGTCAGCCCCAGAGAAGATCCGCATCCTTCTCTTCGTCTCTCCACATCCCCAGTCTCATGTTTCTTTTATGACACCCCCACAAACTGATGTCCCAACCACCTCTTTTGTCCACCCTCTTACAAGAATTCTTACCCCAATAAATTGGGTCTGCAGTCCTATTCCCTGCCTGGCAGCAGGTCTCCTTTCCTGGCCCTCTCTGGACTTGGTTGCCTGTGCTGAGCTAGAGATGGAGACTCTGAAATTGGCTGGGTCCTTCCCGATGTGCTGGAGTGGAGTGCGATTGCTTTGTGGAGCAGCTGGTCCTGCCTGGTGGTACGCTGCGGGCAGCTGCCCGTGAGAGCTGCTTCTCCTCATGCTTCAAATGTGAGTCTTTGCATGCACAGAAACTGATGCCCTGTTTTCTACTTGACATTGCTGTTGAAATGACTTCTGCACTGTCATTTGGGAATCTATAATTAAGAAATGTTGTGGTTGAGGCTCTCTGTTTACTGTACAGTATTAGGCCCTGTATTTATTTATATGCATGTCCATCCTGGGAGAGCTTGGCTTTGTTGAAGGTACTGCAGTGAAGAGTTTGACTTTCTGTGCATTCTGTTCTGAAGAAGTGGTGAACCATAAGGGGGGTTGCTTTGAGAAGGACTGTCAGTCAGTTCTTTTTTTGCCCTCTGTAAAATGAATTCATCTTGACAGAAAAAAAAAAAAAAGTGGTTTGAGGACCAAGCTGCAGTGAGACTATGGGAATTCAGCTAGGATTGGGGTTCCTAGCGATTCACAGGTGAAACTGTTGTATTTCATCTTGGATAGATTGATGGTACTGCTATGTTTTTCTTACTAGGGAGTTCTTGTATACAATGAAAAGTAACATTACTCTGAGAGCAGGTAGGGTATCATGAGTGTAAAATAGACCTGAAGTTTACAGATTGAAAATAAGGGTATTATACTGACAAACAATGAGTAGATGTCAAGCTGCCTTTCTGGCTGTTGTTTTTTTGGTTTTTTTTTTTTCCCTCCCTAAGGATCTACTTGAAGAAATGCAAGAACTGTGAAATTTACTGAATATTACGGTAATGTTCAGGTATCTGCAGTGTCAGATCTGTTCCCCACTATGCAGGTGATGTCAGTTATCCATGGATGTGTAAAAAGATTTTTTCCCAACTATAATTAGCAGAGGACCAGATCTGTATGATTTTTTGTGCCATTTCCTCTCAGTAGAATAGTTCCACTGTGGTGCAGTGGTGGAAGGCTCACAAGCCTTAATGTACATGTTGTGAGGCCAGAGACGTGCATGCTGCTGTACAAATGGACACTTAACTAGAGACCCTTCAAATGTGCACAACAGCTGGAAATGCTGTGTGATCATTCTCCTGCTTTCCTAACATGGATTTTCTTTCTGAATACCAAAAAGTATATTGTACGGCACAGTTTGCTTTATTCTCCTTTTATAGCTTATGAAATCCTTAATTTTTATTATGCTTTTTAATAAAAGCATGCCGCCAAACCAGAATAGTTTATTGTGGAGCACAGTATGTCTTATTATGTATTGCTTTTTACCTTGACAGAATAAACTTGACTAGACCAAGGGTTGCCATTAAATGAACTTTACCTTATCTGCTGCATGCTTCATGTATCCCAGCTGAGCCAGTCAATTGAAGAAATGTTAGTCCAAGCTGAGCTTTGATGTTTCAGCCAACAGCTGCCTTAAAAATGTTTTTATTGTAGGATTTCTATAAAAGCAATTAAATAGTCAGTTTGCTGAGACCAGCATGTCTAAAACTTGTTATCTCAGTTGGGATACAAAAAAGTATGTTGCAAGTAATAGCTGTTTCTGGTCCAATTTATTTGTAGAAAAAGCACATTTAATATTTTGAATAGAAACTTTGCATCACGGAATTTCAAAGCTCAGCTGGTATTGGCATCCTGGCAGCTTCTGAATAAGTTTAAGGGAAACAAATATTTTGCCGTGTTGTAAAGAAATGTCTTCAGTAAGTACCTTGGTTTAATTGTGTTTTAGAGCTAAGCAGACAGTGACAATATCTTTCTTACTAAGCAAAGTAATATATGTGTAACTTGGTAATATGATAACCAAAGCACTCGGTGTGATGGACTGCTGCCGCTCATAGCAAAACAAATTCTCAAGAAGAACTGGGTCTTAAATTTTGCTTTGGAACAATGATTCTGACACTTCTATAGGTCGGGATTCAGTTCATTAACATTCTTGGACTGAAGTGTTCATTCTGTTGTGTTTTGTTTTGGTTTTTTTTAGGAATGAGTTAAATCCAGAACACAGGGTATACTTAATAAATTTTTCCCTGGATTTTTTAGATAACAGTGTTCAGTATTATCTGAGGGCTCTCAAATTAAAATTTAAATGCTTGAATAATATAAGTGCTTTAATTTTAACTGAGTCTTCTATTCTTTCCTAAAGTTCAGATGCTTAAACTTTGTATGTAAATCTCCTTTTGCTTCTGTCCACCACAACTTTATTTTGTGGCACTTAAATTTCTCTAACTTGTCCTAGAAGGTAACCTTTCTGTTTATCCCTGGAAGGCCACTTGCTATAAACTCTTTGTTGCTTTCACCTGTTACATGAGTAGGCAGAAGGTGGGGTGTAAGTCTTTGCAGAGCAACTATAAGTGATATAACTGTTAGTGATAACCTTACAATTCATCCTGAGAACGTATCTGCAACAAAGCTCCAGAAGAGATCTAATTTTATTAACCTTCAACGCTCAGAAAGATTGAAACACATTCTTGCAGGAAGATTATCTTGATATCCTGTAGTTAAAAGGAGCTTAACTTCAAATAGCAAAAAGTCCTCTCTTGAGGACTGTCAGACTCTAGTTTTCTTTTAAGAATTTTGGGAGGAGGGAGAAAAATAGTCACTGACCAAGTAGTAGCTACTTGTAATATGGTAGAAGCTTTTCGATGGAGGATGGTGTGTGTTTCTGATCTTGCTTTCACTGGCATGTCTTAGATGCCGGTTTTACATGGAGCATACACTGAAGGACCTATTACAGCAATGACCAGTCAAAAATTAACTAATTTAAAATGCATTTGGGCACAGTAAACAATGGAAAATTATCTATGTGGTGGTGTATATTAACTCTTAAATACAGGATTATTTTTTTTCTTGAATCAGGAAATTATTCTTTTCCTCATTTTGTTATTTTCTCTGGCAAAAAGAAACCCTGTGTTCTTTGGAAAGTTCAAGTGTTAGGGACTGGTATCTGGAAAAAATAAATATAGATGTGGATTGCTCAGGAACATGGTGCACTCAGAAGTTCAAAGGAGGGCGGGTGTGCTCCCTTTGGCAGCACCATACTAGGAAATAAAACCATGTTCTGTTTTTGAACCAGAGCCCTCTTGGTTGTATCAATGGTTGAATCCATTATGTTCATTCCTACTTAAAATTCAACACTTGGATTAAAATTGTACATTAAGAATTTTTGTAATTTAAAAACCAGTTGTCATAACCATTGTGTTTTCCATTTTAAACAACAAAATAGAGTCAGGATGGCTGCACAGTATAATTAGGCATTGTAGAAACATATACTAAACAGACTGATGGCAGGAGAAATACTGTCCTGTTATAATAAACCAGTGTCTTGTGTTTCATACTGCTGCCCCTTGTTTCCAGTCAAGAAGTACAGCATTACTGTGTCCTTGCATTGATGAAAGACTGAACGTTAAGGCTTCTCTGGTCAAAGGAGATTGACATACAGCATCTGGGTATGTGGTTCTTACCGAATGTTAGTAGGACCTGACTTGGGTACCGTTTTCCAGGATGGCTCAATGCATTAAAGCTGCTTCATGGAGTGAGATTAGTTTGTACTCAGCCATTGCCTAACAGCCCTTTTCGTACCACCCAAACAGTTCTGGTTTTCTCCAGGACCTCTTCTTCCCTCACGTTCACCATACAATCTCTGAGGTGCTCTGGGAAACCACTCGAACTTACCCTGAGGAAGTAAGGGTTGGGAGGGAGAGGAGGATTATTCCGTGGATATGTTCCCTTCTTCCTGGTTGTTCTTGGTGGTTTACTTTCCAAGCCATCTCCTTTCTCCTGTTGAATTTGTGTGAAGTAGCTTCTCTCATGGTTTTATATTGCCTTTTGAGATGCTTGAAAGAATGCTCCTTCTTTAAATTGAGGGAGCTGGCAAAGCCTTGCTTGGTGGGAGCGAAGAAGTGTCCGGTTGGGCTTTGTCAGAAAGCAGAGGTTCCCATGAAGCTGAGCTTAGAAGTGCTCCTAACATACCTAACAAACTGGTTTTTAATTGTGGTGGGGGAACAGCAGAAGTAGGCAGAACCTCTGAGTCTGCCAAGCCTCAGGTGTTCCCTATGTGTGTGTTACCAGAAACATGTTAGAATATTCTGTGTCTGAGTTCCTTCTGTCACATTGAAGTTCAGCTTGTCTTTTCACTCTTCAATGTTATGGGAGCTCTTGTAGCTTTTTGCTTACAGCCAAACAGCAGGCCCTTGTTTGTCCTGCGCGCTGTGTGAATGCCTTTTAACCTCATTGCCTCGTCATGAAGGATTGTACAGAGCCTTGTCAATGCCATTGTTTGCACCTGTGGCAAGAAGCTTTTCCAGCACTTTTCTTGACTTCAACTGAATGAACCCCGAAATGATTGTTGTTAGTCTGTCTGCCAACTGAGCGTGTAATCAACAAGCTGGAGGTGCTTTTGTGCAAGCAGGATAGCAGCTGCTTTTACCTTGGCAGGACATTTTCCATACCCGGTGCCAAAAATATATAGCATCTGGCTTTTTTCAGCCTGCCCAACTTGAGTTCCTGGCTTGACAGATGGTTTCTTACTGCACTGATTTGTAGAGGCTATGCTTGGAAAGCACTGAAGTCTAGTAGCTTGTGTGTGTGTATACTGAGGCTATACCAACTAGTGTCTGTAGCTGTATTATTTACATTAATATTGGTTGTCCTGTACAGATATCTGTTAAATAAGACCACAGAAAATGGTTACTATCAAACAGTTTTTAGCAACAAGTTATAAATACATATGTGACTGAGTGGAGCTAATGGGTTTCATTTAATAAAAGCTGACACTTTTAATTGCTACTTTCCACAAGGAAAGTACCTCTACAAAGATCTTTACTGGGGGGAAATACATCACAAAGAGCTTGCCTGAATACAACAGACTGTTACCTATAAAGATGGTTTAGTTCACTATGAAATTTTAGTTTGCCTTTTCACAAAAGTGAAAGCCTACAGTTTGTTCCCAGATTGGAATCTGCTTTTCCACTTCACCTTTTTATTACATGCCTTGCTGTTTGTTTTATTTTTTTTAAAGAAAAAGAGATACAGGCTCTTTCCTTAGTGAAGAGGATAGCCTATGTATGCCCATTAATGTCTAAATTTTCTTTAAGTTCCTATATGTAAGTGTCTCAGTTTGTCTGGAGGCTGCAGTACTTCCTCTGTGGCAGCGAATACACCGCAGTCGTGCAAAGGGCAACTCCCCCTCCTCAACTTCCCAGCCTGTCCTTCCTGAAGAGTCTGTATCCCTCCATAGCAGCACTCCAGTCGTGCAAGCCATCCACTACATCTCTGGGATCCCAACAAGATCCTACCCCTGCAGCTGTACGCAGATCTCTCACTCCTTGTGTTTATGCCCCATGCTTCATGCCTTACTGCGCAGGCACTTCAGGAGAGACTTCCTTGCTTACATGCAAATGCCTGAGGTGAACCCACTTGAGCCCTGTTTTGTTCATTTTGTGTTCCTTGTTGTTCACATCACCCCAGGCCCTTTACTTGTCAGCCCTGTCCATCGCTTCCTCAGAGGGCTGCGGTAACTCTCTACCTCCCTCATGGTTCCTGATTTTGTTCTTCAGGTGCAATTCCAAATGGTAATTCACATCTGGTTGTAAATACTTGGAAGGAGCCTCTTGCTCAGGGACCACATTAAAGGTTTGGTTTGGTTTTAAACAGTCTTTTTCAGTTCTCTCATTATTGTAATGAAGGACTGCGTGGGTAACCCACTTCTCTTCTTGGCCTGATAGAATTCAGAACGTTATGAAAGGTCTTTCTAGTTATAGGAGTTACCTTAGGATTAAGTCGGGTGCTTGTCTTTTCCCAAGTCTGGGAGAGGGAAACAAAACCCAGTGAAACAAATTTTCCCAAATGTAAATCGTGGTTATATTTATATCTTACTGTGATACTTCGCTTCATGTATGTCTGGTCAAGACTTATTTTTAAGCAAAAATATTGTGGTCGCTGGCAAACAGGGAACATTTCTTCTCAATCTGTTTGAGCTTTTGCATGTATTGTTATGTGCCATGAATATAACAGCTATATGTATTCATACTACTCTTCTTCTTACAGACGACGCTTACATGGGGACCCTACTTGTGGTTTCACATGCTGCGAGTTGCCACATCAACGCTATCAGGTATTACTTTATTTAAATCTTGGGTAAACCAGTAACGGAATATTGAAAGTTGCTTTGACAGACTATAAAATCATCTTTGTGAGCTACTGGCCATTTTTTCGAAAGTGCGAATGAACCTGCATTTTAATCCGCGGAGATGTACTCTCTTGCCTTAGGCACTTTTTTTTTTTTTTTTTTTTTTGCTTTCCAACTCTTGAATGGAAGAATGAACAGAAAATATCCTTTTGCTGAACACTTTTTCCCCCTTTTTCTCCATACGGAGATACGGTGGTATTGGCAAGGGAGTATATCAGCTTTCTATTGGGTTTTGTATGGAACTGTTTTGTGTGATGTTATCTGAAAAGAATGCTGGTTGGAGTAACCACACTGACAGGTTTTATGAAGAACTAGAAATTATCCCAAGAACGCATCTAGTCTTGTGCTTTACAACAGACTTCTGAGGTTACAAAGTAAACAAAAATACAACTGTTGTCAAGGGTCTTAAACTCACTGCATGGAAGTTTATTTGACCTGTGGACCTCATAAAATTTTGTGAAGTTTTAAAAGTGCCTCTCCCAGTCTGCATTCTTCACAAGGTGTAAAGTATCTTTGATGGTTTTTTTGACAAATATTGTGGAGCTTCTGCCATTGTACACCTAATTTTGAATGCTTTTAAAAACTATTGGCAGCCTATTCTGTTAATTAAGCTATCGCTATTTTTAGAAACACTTTTTCTCTACTGTACAGTTTAATTCTATTCCTTGTCATATCTGTTCTTCATACACAAAGGGAGATACTGCTTTTGTTTTTTCAGAAGTCTTTTATGAATTTGAAGATGAGTACTTCCTTTTTTCCACTTCAGTTTTGCCTCTTGACATTTGTAATTTGAACCGGTCTTTTGCACAGAGCTCTGGATGACAGGATATCTATGAAATTAGTTATTGTGAATATTCATTGAAGCAGTCAATTGCTAACTTCTAACTTGTTTTCCCTGAAGATGACTAACTTATTTGCATCCTGGGGGCAGATTTGCAATTTGAAGTGCAATGTGTGTGACTTCTTGCTTGCCTTTACTCAAGAACCAGTGCTGTAGCCATCATCGGTAAAGAGACTGACAGACACAAGCCCACCTGTTCCGTACTTCTGACTGTGCAGTACCTGTTTTAGCAAAGTAGCGCTGCGTGTATCCTCCAGCTTGAAAATTGAGACAGCTGAAACCTAAATATTTTATTAATCCATTAGTATGCAACACAGAACATTGTTAAAACTGCTACTGACTTGAAGTATTCATATATCAATAAATAACTCTCTAGTTTGCTGGTACCATTAGACTGAAGCACCAGTACAGTTGGTAGCCATGTATTTTTGTCTAACCTTAATTTTCAGTTAAAGTTCAGTTAAAGGCTTATCCTTTAACTGATCCAATAGCAAACCAAACCTAGATTCAAAGCTGAAACTAGTAGAATTCAAACAAACGCTACCACCATCTAGATTTTCATTTATTTCCATGTTGTTCTCCTTTTGTTCATTCTTTATCTTAAAGAACAATTATTAGTCTATTGAGCTAATAATTACATATAAGTAGATTAGCCTAGCAGATTTTGGGTTTGTCTTTTGAGTGAAGTAGGACTATGGAAAACCATTCAGGAAAGATGATGATATCTTTTAACAAAACTGTGCTTAAGAATTTTCTTCTAGATACTAATTGTATGTAAATCTATCTTTATTTTTTAGTATGTGATTTCCTTGGGGAAAAGATTGCATCTGTTCTGGGGATAAGCACACCAAAATACCAATATGCCATTGATGAGTATTACAGAATGAAGAGAGAGGTATGTGTGAGAGAGAGCGTTCTTGCACTGATTTTCTCCCAGCTTGCCTTCCCTGGTATTTTAAAAAATGAAATTTGTATTCCAGGATTAAAATGAAGTTTTAGAACCTCTATTTCAGCTTGCCTTCAGTTTTCATTTGATGCATGATTAAGACTTGCTTACCTATCAGCCTTTTCTCACCAGCTTATCAGTCTTAGAACTGGCTGGGTCCTGACCACTGCTCTGTTTGTTTCTCTTGTATAATGCATTTTCAAGTCAGCAGTGTGAGAAAGTTGGATGGAGCAGTTACTAAACACTGTAAAGAGGTGGCTGCTAGGAATATACTTTCCAACTCTAAAACTTGTTCGATGAAGTGTCAAGGGCAAATTGAACATGATGTTACCATTTGTTCTAAACCCTAACTGGAAATGACTGATAGGTAGCCAGTGCTTTATGCAAAAAAACCTCTATAATTATCTTCATTTGGAAGAGATGGGAAACATGTTTAAAGCTTTACTGCTTATTTTTTATTTTTGATAGCTCTTTATTATTAAAAGCTGGAAAAGTTTTAGAGAAGGTAGACCTATCTCTGTTGCTATTGACTAAAACCTGCTTATCTAGACACGTGACATTTCTTCCGTGTTTATTTAACATGGTTTAATCCTTCCCTTTTGGCAATTTTTTTTTTTCCATAATGGGAGTTCTGGAATACATCTCATCTTATGATCAACTAGTAACAACTAGTAACCATTTTCTAGTGGAACAAATGTCCTTACCTTGTAATGGGAGGAGTGACTGATGCACTGGAAGGC